GAGAAAAGATCTGCTTTGTTACTAACCAACCATGTATGGGTTCGAGGAACTATTGCAGCTTGCAAAAGACCAATCCAAAAGGCAGAGATTGTCACTAACAGGCTCAAGATCTTTACTATATGCTTCATTTGTCCTTAATTAAAAATACGCGATTAATCAATCAAATAGAAATTACCACAGATCTGTTTCGATCTCTAGAGAATTCACAAGCATCGAAATGCGTAATTTTGAAACAAAGAGAAGAGAAGAGAAACGAACCACGAATTAAAAGTTCGGTGTGCGATTCAAGAACGTATGCTCTTTGGATTGAGATTGCTCGGATTAGGGAAGCAACGGAGAAGGAGGAGAGATTTTCTGAGTGAGATTTTAGAATTTGTCTTTGACTTGCTTGATAACCGTCATTTAAAAACTTCAACCGTAACAAACCGGATTAAACCGGATAACCAAACTCTTTTTTTTTTTTTTTGTGCAACCATCGATTCTTATTAACTAAAACATTGCACTCACTACATGGATGGAATGGAGTTATACTAACTCTTTGATTAAAACAACAAAGCTTGAAAACAATAAAAGTTGAGGAAGATAGAGCGACTGCGAATCCAACCACATTAGATGCGTCGACGCAAAGCTAGAAAGTTGAGATATGGTCACTTTTGCTTTGTTTGTGACGATGAAAGACCGAAAAACTCATCGAGACTAGTCCCGTTGCATCTTTAAGTCCCATGGAGACCATTGCATCTTTAGGTCGCGTGGAATACGGTTAAAAATTGACCGTTTGATCTCAGTTTTAAAACCGCAAAAAAAAAAAATCTCTTTTCAAAGAGAAGGAAGGTGGAGGTGAGATTCTCTCCTCATCGGAGAAAAATGGTAAAAGGACAGAAAATTGATCCATTACGGAGGAAGATTGAAGACAATACAAACCCGAAAATATAATGTTGAAATGAACAAATCCATTGCTTAATGGGTCATTCCACAAAGGAGGAACCAATAACATATATTGGCCTAAGCCCAATATAAGAATATTGATACGTCATGATGAACAATGGAGATATATATAGAAAAGACAACAATTTAGATGACTAATCTTATGAAAGTATTTTATGCAGAATATGTTTCAAATTCTTTAAAGTAGATGGTTGCGTAATGCTGATTTTCTAAGTCTTATCTAGCGTTCTCAATTTAACCGGCGTACCATCGAACCATCTAAAAGGAGATAATTAAAAAGATCACGAGTTCAAACCACTTTATGTTCTTCTTTCATCAAGGTTAGCTCCAACAATTCAACAAACATTTAAATTGATAATGTACTATTGGTGGATAAACCCTTACCTACACATGGAGTTTTTTTTTACATATAAAAAAATAGCGATTTCAGTAGGTTTGCAGAGAATAGTGACAAATTTATTGATCTTTAACATAATGTGAACAAATACTAAATGGAGAAATCTTTTATCCCGTATTGCGTAAACCAGTCACAGCCAAACTCAGGAAAAAGCAATAAAATTCTTCGCATGGAAAAGGACTAAAATGATTCTGACTTTTATTCCGTACACTTGAGACAGTTCGATTTAAATTCGTTTTTGGATATAAAAAATAATGTACCATTTCTATAAGCTTATAGTTTCACATTCGATTCATATATATCCGATATGAGGATCTGATCGACTCGGTTTATGAGAAATTCTATTCCTTCACTACCCAACTTATAAAACATACGGTGTTCTTATTAATAACAAGGTTACACCCTCGTGAGTACGACACGAGGTGCGTTACAGAACGTAATTATTATACAATACTCATATAACGAAATTAGTTTTTAGTTCTTGGGTCTTTCAAGAAACATCGGCGAGACGCAGATAGCCTTTCTTTGACGGGAGGTCGGCAGTCTTGAAACCCTGAGGAAACAACTTCTTAGCCTCTTCATCCGAGAGGGCAGGCGAAATCACAACCGGTTCGTCCGGTTTCCAGTTAACCGGAGTGGCGATCTTGTTCTTGTGCTTTGACGCCATCAACAACGAGTCTAAAGCCCTCAACACTTCGTCCATGTTACGTCCCGTGGTCGACGGATACAAGAAGCTTAACTTTATCTACATCACAAAACCATTATTAACCAATAAAACATACATGCAATATGTTTGCAATGAATAATGAAATCATTACCTTACTATCCGGACCAACGATATGAAGGGCACGAGACGGTCCATTTTCGATTGGATCAATCATGTTAAGCTGAGGAATGATCTCCTTGTTCGGGTCAGCGATTATTGGGTACTTCACCTTGCTTCCGGGCTATATTATATACATGTCACAAAATAAAGACACACGAAGATGAATCAAAGCCAAAATATGATCTTTAGACTAATTAGGTTTGAATTGTATGACATTTAATTATGGATGAGATTTAATTATACCGTGAAGGCCTCTATGTCCTTGATCCAGTCTTTGTGTGACTGTATGTCGTCACAAGACAAACCAAGGAGCTTCACGCCTCTCTTCTCGAACTCGTTAGAGTATTTTGCCATCGCACCGAGCTCCGTCGTGCATACAGGCGTGAAATCCCCTGTGTAACCGTAGACCAAATTTTTTTGCCAATTATCAAGAAAATCAATGTTTAACAAACTCCTGTAAAAATTTGGCGGTAGGATGCTGGTTTCGGTTGATCAATTTATGAAAAACCGAACTGAACCGGTACATAATCAAAGATAAATTAAACGTATATACCGGGATGAGAGAAGAGGACGGTCCAAGAATTGGCGAAGTAGTCATGGAGCTTAAACTTGTCATGTGTAGTCTCCACTTCTAGGTTTGGCACCGTGTCTCCTAGAGTTATGCCTGGCATTTTTCCTG